CATTATGTGGCGGTGATACTAATCTTTGACCACAGTGGCTTTGTTGGTGCGTTACACGCTTGTCCCGCTCTGCGGTCGTTTATTGATCATCGCAGGAGTTGAGTGTATTCATCTTGACATCAGTCTGTATTAACACTCTGGTAACGAGGGAGCCGCTTTTATCAGATCAGATAACCGGCTCTATAAAGCAGACTCCTCTCTGCGGGTTTGGCACCCAGAGGTCGCGACCCCTAGCAGGACTCTTTAGCCAACGCAACTCTTGAGACTGAGAGTGTGTCTGAGTGACTGCCCGCCAAACAAAAACACAGCACATGTCATGAATGAAGTGCAGGATGAGTTTAAATAGTAGCCTCAATAATAGCCTGCATTTTTATAGAAGAAAATTATGATTTCAGAATAAAAGTTTCAACTTTTCCCGCAATTTAAATAGTTATTTAAGTTCCTGTTGGAGGCACTGGGAGGTGAGCTGGCACCTTGAGGTCATGAGCCCCCCCTCAGATGAATGAGCTTACCCCCCCCTCTGTCTGCTCCTTGTTTAAATAACATGTCGACATACATACGCTCTGGTTCCCTTAACGCATTGCTATGCATTTTGCAATAATACACCTCTATAATTTCCCGCCTGATTCAATTCACAGCTAAATGAAATCAAATTAAAACAAATTTGATGAACTCAGCTGCATTTAGTTTTGTCTAATTGAATGCTGTGATTATGTAAACATAAATTAAAACACTGTGATATGTTTGTTCTGCATCACTAAAGATCTGTGATGAGTGTTTCAAAGGGATGGGATGATGAATTGAATATTGTATAGATGGAAAATTAATCAAATACAAGTTTGATAATCGATTAACCGAAAAAAGGCCAAGTATTCTCTGTATGCATCTAATTAAATGTGTGAAAATGCTGCTTTTTCACAGTTTATATCATTTTGAAATTCAAAGCGATGGGATTTTTGGCTGTTGGTCAAACAAAAAGTATTTCTTATAATTAATAAGCCGAAAAATAAATGAAAGTATTTTAAATATTCCTCACATGCAGCCTTGTGTCTGATCCTTCTTAATATTCTGAGATGAAAATTTTGGAAAGATTGTTTAATGTCTTACGACAATGCTCAATTTTCCTTTATGTCCTGATTTAATTTTTTTAAAGATTTATTAATCTAATTTGAAGGTTGCACTCTTAGGTGCTGACATTTTGCTGCGCTCTGAGTTCCTGTGTTGATTCTCCCTCTCCCCCATAACAGATGCTGATACACAGAGCAGGGTGTGACGGAGGCCCGCTCCATCACTCATCTCCATCCACACACATCGGTTCAGTCCTCATGACGCTCAGAGATGAGAAATAATTAATTCAACAGCTACTGAAGCACGGAATCACATCCATTCTCACTGCCACTGGCTATTGTTGTTGCCTTTTGAAATGTATGATGATCATCTTATCATAAAATTTCTCTCTCGCTATTTCGCTCATAAATCAAGTAAGAAAGCCCCACACAAAGCAAGAAAGCAACCAGAATGGTTGAAATTAAGAATCATCTACAGGCCTGATTGTGCAATTTGTGTGGGTCGCCCTGAAAGAACGTGTGATATGACTTTGAAAGACCGGACACACTTCATGGACGCTGCGTGTTCTCAACAGACCTCCAGAGCTGTCTGCTCAGGTCAATTCAGCTCACTCAAACGTGCACTAATAACAAGAAAGGTGAACAAAAACATGCTTGAAAGCTGATTTGTACTTAAACATCAGATACTGTATGACAGATTTGTATTTGACCCTGAGAGGAGCAGCTTCTCCTTTTGTCTTTTCTGGAGCCTACAGCAGCAGTGGGGGTGGAGGAGCTGGGATGCTCGGATGTTAATCTGCGAGGTAATGGCTTTTCTCTGCAGAATTGCAAATTCTAATATATGTCACTTTGTAAAAGGTGCGGACAGCCGTGGTCACCATCTCCAGGGGTCTCTCTCTCGCTCTCCCCCGCTCTGTCCGTCCGCAACAATGGCTGCCAAGTGTAACATGCTACTTTTAATTTGCAATAACACGTGACAATAGCAGATTAATGGCTCTTATGACACCTGTGTCCCTGAAGCTCCTCTTGCCGAGACCCAGTGTACATAACGTGTGTCACACTACATTATCGCTACATCCCTCCTGTAATGGGGGACCTTTTTTTAAGGGCACTGCTGACTTGGAAACTTAGGAGCTGTCCGCCTGCTTGGCAGAGAGCCACAGCTACTGCCTAAAACAAATACTCAGAGCCACACAGCCAATCCATTTCAGCGGGGCGTGTGTTGCACACAGCCCTCCCCTACGTAACCCCTACCCTCCTTTTCCTTCGCCTCATTTTTGTTCATGTTTTCAACCCTTGATAATGACTGCTTGTGCCACAATCATCATGAGGCTTACCGAGTTAAATAGGGCTCAGGCAAGCTACTGTGCTGTGAGGAAATGTAATCCAAGCATTAACTGACTATAGACTACTGCCTACTGAGAGAAGCAAAATACTTCTGAATAGCAAACAAGGCAACATTGAAGCACAGATCTCAGCTAGAAAAAAACTGCTGTAACCCAAAAATGAGCACGAAACACCCTGAAAGCTGCAAGGACATGCTTTTTACTTCTATGTGTTTGATTTCAGTGCCAGGATTTTCTAGATGCTAAGGGTTATTTGTAGATTCTCGGGATCGTTTACCGTTGGTTGAGAAAAACACTAACCAGTAAGCCTATGGCTACAGCATTTGATCATTTCCAGACATTTCTCATGACCTTTTAGGGCTTTCTTGTGGCAAGAATCTGGCAAAAATGATTTGTACCATGATATAGGGGTTATAATGAATATATCCCCATTCTATTAACAATGCAAAATGTTACAGTATTAACGAAACGGTGGGATATGCATTTGCAATAATCACTGTCCGTTTACTTTTTGTGCCGCTGTCCGCCACAAACCCTTGAGTTTTAACAGTTTGTAACTGTAAAGCAGTCGTGTTTTTGAGAATTGATACAGTATCACAAAAGATAATATAGCAATATTCAAGTGCAGTATAATTTACTACTCCTCACTAAATGTCTTGTTTCTGAAAATGTAAATGTTACAGAAATAATGCATGAGTTAATGCCTGCCTTGTGAGTGAATGAGAAAACAAAAAAGATGATGCAATCTATCGTAAAATGTGGCATCCGTAATGATTTTCTTACATAAATACATCCCAGAATATAATAATACAGTCTATATACACTCCAGATACTAACATTTTCGCTAAAATGTAAAGTTACTCATGTTAGCAAAAACCTCACAAGATAGGACACAATAACGGCTACGACCCTTTCTCACAGGAAGCCTAACTGCTGCAAAATTGTCCGATTCAGGGTCTTTTCTTTTTGGGGGGGCAATGTGCACTTTAAGAGAACAGCAACAGGACAATAGTGTCTACAGGGTAACATCCTATGTAATATACTATTCTCACAAACTGTGGCTCCAGGCGAGACATTGCTTCTGCAGCCGTGTGTGTGCGGCCAAGGCCTGGGGTTTATGTTTTGGAAAGATAAAGTATCCCTGACCCCATGGTTGCAGGTAGGCAGCAGCTGGCCATAGAGAGAGTATATAAGAACCACAGCTCCCTCCGTCACCCTCAGTACAAGTTCTACCCTGACGCACATTATCACACACACACACACACACACACACACACACGCACACACGCAGAGCTTTCTTCTCTTTCATCGTAATGCTGGCCGAGCACCTAAATCACAGAAATGGCAGCACATCAGGGGAATCATTCGAGACTGAATAGCCGTAGAAACATGGCGCTGTCACCTGGAAGACCTCCACAAAACAGGTTCTCCTCCCCACACACACACACACACACACACACACACACACACACACACACACACACACACACACACACACACCGTATTCCCCTCCATGCCCTTTAATACCTCTTTGCCCTTCAGTAGCAATCTGCATAGAAATGTGTGCGTTCTATCATTCAGGGACTAGACATTACACCCTGGTTAATATGAGAGGTCCTCGAAAGACTGAGAATGAACCCTTGAAAATACCAGACGTTTGCATTATGCCTCCACGATTGCATCTCTTACAGGGGAGGACTTGATTATGTCATTTGCCATGTCCACGTCATGCTGGTTTTTATATCTTTGCCAGGAAATCTACCTCTGACAGGTCATTAGTCATCCCTCCCTCCCTGCACGCACATAAAACATCAATTCCACTCAATATCCCGCAAACCCCCGTGCTTCTCGACAAACGCCATAACAAAGAAGACGCTATGTAAACTGCTGCCGTGCTCTGATTAGCTCTCATTCTGGAGCACTGCAGAAATAAGGCACTCATTCCCCACCCTGTTTGAGATAACTGCCCCTTTTCAGCAGCCACATCATCCCTCCGTACCCGAACACGCTTTGCAACATGAGTGCATCTGTTTAGCTATTCTCATCAGACTTATGTAGTGACATTAAGGAAGCCTATTGCTTACAGAACCAATAATCTATATCGCCTCAGGCCCCCTTATATCCACTAACCTACTACTTCAGCAGCTGAAGTGGAGCCACTTTTGTTAAAGGGAGAGGGGGAAAAAAAGCCCTCCACCGAGCTGCAGCGGCTTTCTTGACTGACCTGGGTGGTTGGCTACATCATCTTGACATGTAATTATCTAAAGCCCTTTAATCACTTCCATAAAGATTAATTGCAGGAGACAACAGCGGAGGTCGTGTCTTCAAATCAAAAGACTCCTTGGCAGATTGACACAGCGGTGTAACAGAGTTCAGACTTAGGTGTTTTATAAGGGTCATCTAATGGAACTGAAGCAGGTTTTAATGCTGTAATTGCAAGTTCAGCAAAGTGGGTTTTATAGCATAAAGCTGCACAGAGAAAAATGTGTTGCTTTTTTTTTTTTTTGTAGGATCTGAGATATTTGATGCATTCTAACCCTAAACTGATTTTATATCTTTTCTCATCTAGACAGAAAAAAGGTCTTACCTTCATCTCTTTTCCTCTTTTCGCCGTTGGATCGGGGGATACCCAGAATCCCGTTGATGGAGTATGATCCCGCTGGGTCGTTGGAGGCGCTGGTTACAGGCGGAGAGGCTTGGCTCGGTACTGTGGGAAGGACAGTTAGCATTAGCTTGCATTTAAAATAAAAAACATCAACATCGAGTAAGTTCTGTGATGCTAATACCTGTGCTACAGTCTTACCTATAGTATGGCCTGGCGTCAGGGACGACCCATCAGGAGACGGATGGAAAGGCTGCTGGACTTTTGTTCGGATGATCCTGGGGAAAAAAAGAAGAGCAGATGTCAACGCTGCTTTCCTAAAAACCTCAACCCTTCCTGGAGATGTCCCAACGTAGCCCTAACATCAGCTGCTATGGAGATACGGTGTGATTAAGTTATCAAATGTAACGCAAAAGGGATCACTGGTTCTACCTTAAAGGTGAGGTGTGGAGAAAAGTCTTCATTGCACTTTTGGTCTGAGTGATTTTGCAAACAAAGCATGAAATCACATCAATTCACCTCAATGATCAGCTTCACTGCCTCTACCTGGCCCACACTAATCAGCTCTCCCCCTCTCCCCCACTGTGGGGGGAGGGGGGGTTTCTCTGGGACCGATCGCATTCCCAGAGTAGCCCTTTGCTTCCCAGATCAAACATCTCTGTAGAACCAGCGGCCCCCATGTGCCAATGCGGATGAGGTTGTATTGATCGGGGCTTGGGGAGAAAAAGTTGGGGATTAGTCACACGGGCAAACAGATGCAAATAGAAAGCTATAAATTACATGTGACAGGAAAGCAATAGTTCCTTATTGCCTCGCACAAGCTTACGCCAGCATTAGATTCCTTTAATCTGAATGGCACTTGGGGAGAAAGGGAGCTGTCACAATAATTTGTAAACTTTAAAACTATTCATCATGTATGCCACGAGAGCTATTTTAGAGCACAAAGAGGTTGGGTGAGGACTGTGGAGCCTTTTGTACTTGATTTCTTTACACAATTCACATGTGGTACTTTTGCATGTTTTTATTTCATAAGGAAAATAATCATCCGCTCCAATGTTAACTTTTACAAATGCTATATAACTGTTGTATTTTCTCCACATACGGAAATGTATCAGATGATTTGGATATTGATGTTACTGTAGATGCCAGCAGGCTTCAGAGGAATAAATCCAGCACTGTCACAAATAAAAAAAGAAAGAAAATCCCCTTCGAGGCAAAGCTACCTAACAACAAGCAATTCCAGAGATCGCATATTGACGTTTTAATTTTTTTCACTTCTGCCCATAACAGTTATTCGACCCCTTGACTTCTGTGTGTGCTACATAAATTCAAAGACTTTATTTGGTATCCATGTTCTTGATATTGAATAAGCAATTTGGGAGAATGAATTAATGACCCGGTTGTTGCTGAAAATCCCCTGAAGAAATATTAAAATTGCTTTCCTTCTGAATCAATACTATCGAGCGCCATTGAGGACTTTTTTTTTTTTTATTGCTACCAACAGGGTAGCGTTACTTGTTGGTTGTGGTGGCCTTGACTCGTAGTACAACACTATCTCTGTCGCATTTAATAATGCATGCAGGCGAAAGGTGTTTAAATAGAGCATCCTCTTTTGTCAACAGTCCTGAGGTCAGACTATCTGTGACACAAGCACACCACTGACCCATAGTCATCCAACTGGAAAACACTCCAAAAACAAAGGAAACTTCTGAATGAAAAACGATCATGTTATATATTTTAAGCCACTTATCTTTTTTATTATGTATTTTTTAAACATGTAGCATTAGAAATTATCTTGAGTAGCGAGTGATAGAAAGGATGTTTTCATTGATCATTTTTTTTTGCAGACTGCTCCTTTAGAAATGAATTGAAACTATTGAAATATTAACCTCAGGCTAAATCAAAGTGTGTGTGTGTGTGTGTGTGTGTGTGTGTGTGTGTGTGTGTGTGTGTGTGTGTGTGTGTGGTCCATTGTGTGTGTGAGGCACAGAGCAACACATTGAAATCTTCAGAAAAAAAGAGAAGACATTCAACATTAAGCTGTAATAGAAATTCAAAGTAGCTCTCATATTTGGCTGATGGAATTACAGTTCTTTGTATTCACAATTTAATTTCCCACATAAACAAAGACACATAAGCCCCCCCACCCCACACATCCAAAATAGAAAGCTTTAATTGGAATTGAAAAAAATAACTTATAGGGCTCTTTTAATGATATTAATGTACATTTTGAATTGATCACATACATGTGTCTGAGCCCTCTTAAATGGGGCTTTTTAAGCAGCCACGAAGCATGAAATGAATTTTCTTCAGCCTTTTCTCTATTTAAAAGATGTCTTGTGTGGAGCTGTCCATGCTCTCCCATCAGCTCATTAAAATGTAATGCTGATGCTAGCTCTATGGAACAGTGCCTCTTAACCAAAGTTCATCACCAGGGATCTCTGCTGGGGGGGTGAGGAGGGGTGAGGGTGGGGGTGTCCTGGGTCCTCATATGTCTGCCACTCTATAACTAGAGTGCTGCTTTAGGAATTTCTTTAAGAACATTGTAGATTTGTAGCATAAATAATGACTTAAATATCGTTATTAGTCATTTATCATTTAAGCGTTTTACAGCCCAGACACAATTGATGCTCGATTTTAAGCATCCTCATAATGTAACATCAATATTAATTACAGCAACCTGGAATTTTAATGCAAGGATTTAAATCAGGAGACTAATTTATAAATGATTTAAATGCTTTTTCTATTATTGCTACAAGCCTACAACATATTTACGTATTTTATTGCGATGCATGATTTTTACAAATTGCAGCCTATAATGTTTACCCTTTTAATTCTTCAAAATAAAACCCTGCAGCAGAAGAGCCATGTTGCTCTGCCTTTCTGTGTGCAGCAGCACATTAGATGTGCTAAAGAAAATTGGCCTGCTTTATAGCGCCACGGGATCTGGTCACCGAATATTGATCGGTTTTCATCTCGACAGATTCACTCAGTCCTGGATGTACTGCTGATTGTTGAGGGAGTTTGGACTGAAAGATTGAATTGCACCTCTGAGACCGCAGAGCCTCGGCGCAGCGGCCAGCACAAAGTTGGTCCAACAATATTCTGCTGTGGGTGGTGCGCTCAGCATATCTGATAAATAACCTGTTTATTAAAGGGTAGCACACTGCACCTCGGAATTTAACCCAAACAAAATAACATTAAAAAAAATCGGATTTTTCTCTTTTCTAATTTTTTTTCTTTATATTAGATTTGTTGTCCTACCTGTTAATGGATGAGACGCTGGGCACTGTGTCGTTGTCGCAGACGCCCTCCGCCAGCAGTCTGTCTCTGATCTCCCAAGCAAACATGGTGGGGTTTTGTCTCTTGTAGTCTGCGATTTTGTCCACCACTTTTGGAGTGGCCACTTTAGGTTTAGATCCACCAATCACACCGGGTTTGATGCTGCCAGTCTCGTAATACCTGCAGTCATAACAAATATGTTCCATTGAGATAGCTTGCAATTTTTCTGATGTAATCATACCGATGAGATAGGCGTTTTAAAGCACTTTAAACACAATGACACGCACATGCTGTTGAGTTTTACTAAGAACTACTTATTTTTCAAACTTTCTCCAGCAAAACATCAAACTTGAAAATGCGTTTTCGTTTCCCCATGATGTCTCAAATAAAACACATTTTTTTTCTTAAAAATGCAAAAAATAACGCATGCACAAATACACGGCAAGGATGTCATTCTGTAAATACAAATTGAATAATTCCAACAAACACTTATAATAAAATGGAGGAGAAGCCCACCTGAACTCTACTGACCTTCACAAATAGCGTTAATATAATAATTTAGGGCCAGTTATATCTAATTAACCCTATTTCAGAATTAGAAACGCTTCTGAGTTGTGCAGGTTGAGCTCTCCTCCACCTCCACCACTGAACATCGTGCACATATCATCCACCACCTCGCACCCCGCAGAGTGTACCTGGCTGCAGGGCTTGTCCGGAGAGTGTTCACCCACCTGCCCAGGATCTTGCTGACGCAGCCGTGGCTGACCCGCAGCTGTCTGGAGATGTCGCAGGGCCGAACCCCCTGGTGGGCCAGCTCCACGATCCGCTGCCGCACCACGTCCGGGAGGGGTCTGCCGTTCACAAACACCCCGCCGAGCTGGTTCACACCCCCGTGCCCTACGTGGGATACAACAGCCGCAAAGACACAACCATGACATTACATAACGTTGTAACAGAGAGGATGGCACAGGTGAGGTTTTTCTTGTAATATTAGTCGACAAAAATTGCGGGAAATAGCTTCCAACATTTTTTTAAGGTCAGTTAACCTCCTGTGTTTCTATGGAGCAGGAGATTGTACATGCAGGCTATTTATGGAGAAGTCTTAAGGGTGCATGAAATAGGACTGCACATACATATTCCTGTTTGAAAATGATGCGTTTATACAAAACATACATACATATTTTGGAATCAGAAAGTGGTTTTCTTTCTTAAACCTTTCATGCAGAACAAATAATACTATTTCGTCAGTAATTCGAAATAAATATTGGGTACAACAGGATTTCAATGATTTAGAAATCAAAAAATACATGATGACCACACTGCAAGTGTCTATAATGAGTATATATTTTTGTACTTCTTTTTAAAAAAACTAAAATGGACACTGCAGCAGACAATATTTATTGTTTTTGTCCTTGCATATCGATATGTATGTTTCCCTCCACTTATGATCAAAACTATGTATCTTTAATTTTTTTTATCAAGACAAATTATATACAATCATGTATTTTCATTAATGTTTTTTGAAATAAACAATTGTGTAAATTCCAGTGTTGGACACTAACCCATGCTGCACATTATTTTCCATCTGTCACACTGTTGTTGTGCAGCTTGTACAATTACTACAATACGTCCAACCTGCAATGACCCATAAGTATGTGGGTCAGTGTTAAAACTGCTATTTAAATTCCCAATACTAATTAATAAATGCAAATTCGAGTGTGCAATAAAGTTTCTCCCATTCAAAACAAGGACCACATATTTTCCTCGCAGCTCCACGGCTCATGTTATGCCTATTAAGTTACATGCTCTCTCATTTTCCCTTCACGGCAATTTTAAATAATTGAACGAGCTTTGATAACTCATATTACATATTATTTAGTAAACGAAGAGCTCATCCATTATTTACACACATTCACCAAATTACAAGCATGTGAGCTTAGGTTGGACTCGAACACCTTGCTGTTATTTGAATAATTTGAATAATAGATGTGTAACTGTCTCACTTATTAGGCCTGAACACACACACGCCCGCGCACACACATACACACACACACGCACACTGCGCGGGAAGCTGCAGGCAGATACACGTGTAAATTACAGAGTACGTGCCAGCGCATGTGCTTTGTTTACTATGACAAGTTTTAATTTCTGCACACCTCTGCTTTGTATCCGGAAGTAATGTCATATATATTATTTTAACATGTTATTATCTTTTTAAGCAGAATATTCTCTGAACTGTGCACACAGAAGATATTAGATGGACTATTTTCTCCTCTTGTCATCCTCATGTTTGCCTACTACATGTCCGTTTATTAGCCAGTTTTAATGCGCCAAAATGCTGTTGGCACACAACACTGCACATGCTCTCTGCTGCAGGCCTTTGTAATATGCAGAAATATTATATTCCTATTGATGAAGCTGCGGAAAAACTCGGGTTGTGCTACTTACAGTGCATCGCGGTGAAGGGATCTGCTTTGCAGTGAATATCCATTGGATAGCCAAGGAAAGACAGATAATCAACTGAAGTCGCCGTTTCGCCTTCCTAACAAGGATGAATATGTGAAGAAAAAAAGGTGCTTCTACTCGATGGAGGGACTTAGTTTGCCCCCTCCACCCCCTCGCTTCAACAACCGATCTGACGGCAACTTCTTCCCCCAAAAGTTGCCCGGTGTTTCTTCAACAGTCCGGTCCGGCCGCGGAGGTCTGGCAGGTGCGCAGCATGACCGAAGGACTGTGTTTTAGTTTATCGCTATTTGTTCTTCTTCAGAAGCCTTCAGTGAGAAGTAGAGGTAATTCTCACAGTTTGTTTTTAAATGAAACGGTGATGTCCAGGGCCCGGTATGTCCTCAATCCTCGTGGCCTTGATTCACGCGTGAAAACGGCGGAGAAAACGCGCACACACACACACACTGACACACACCGGGTTTGTGTTGAGCGCAGGATGCGTAGTGCTGGATCTTTGGGCTGGGAATGAAGCCTCTCTCTGTGTCTGTGGTTCTAAAAGCTGCAACCCTCCCCTCCTCTTCCCCCTCTCCTCCCCTCTGCAGACCCCCCTTTTGCTTATATGGATGACTTGTCAGACAAAGGCAATAGATGCCAACACTTTGTGATTCGCCAACGTTAAAAAAAAAAAGAGAAAAAAACCTGGGGTCCAAATGAGGAGGTCTGTGGGTCTGACACACCGGCAGGAAGGGGAGGGAGATAAATAAGGAATGGATTGTGAGTTAGAAATATCAGACTTTATTAGACATCATAACAGCTGTGAAATATATGCTCGTTTACTGGAAGTTTTGAATCAATGAAATAGAGATTATTTTTTACATTTGTGTTTCTTTTTTTCTTTTTATTACACGGACTAACAGCCTGTCTCTGCATGGGAATACACATTATCTCTGTAAGTGTCCCCACAACCTGGATTTAGCTTGATCCTGTTTTGAATTTTTTACTTTTATTTCGTTTTGCTTTTCCTCCTCAGTCTTCATATCTGCTCTGGAACTCAAGTAGGCCTAAATAATTTGTCTATATAATTATTTACTGCTTAAATTCGATATATTTGTTGTTAAGCCATTGGTTAATGTCTTTAAATGTAGACTATAAACCTGTTTCCGTGTCGCTGATGATGTGATGACTGCAGTGGTCCATAGGAGCAGGGGTGGAGGTTGGAGGTGTACCTGCCGCAGTGCCGCTGAGCTTCTGTAGATGGCGCTGTATGGTTTCTCAAAATGTAAAGGCGATATCAAAGTAGTCCAAAAAAGTCAAACTTGGGATGCACCTGAGTGCTTGTGATCAAACTGACAGGTCACAAATGTTCTCCTGGAACATTTATCAATGAACTATAGATCCATGGAATGTGTTGAAAACGATAGATAAGACTTTGTCTGAACCTGCAGTATACAGGTTAACTAAGCAATGCCTTATGGAGTTATGGTGGAGTCAGGATGCTTCGTTTTGGATTAAATTAATATAATCATTTACTACATAATGATTCCAAAATATATCAATTTTTATTTTTGTATTTATCATATTATTATCTGATCCTTTAGATCAAGTACAACAGATACATAGCCTATATCACTAACTTCATTTTTGAAGCACTTAAAGTCTCAGAGTTTTTTCACAGGGGGAAACAAATAAGGCAGCAGTAAACGCAACTCGAATAAAATAATATATATATGTGTTACTATTAACAAATTAAATAATATAACAAATATTCAATTAATTTGTTCGTTATTCTGAAGTGACAATGTCACAAATAAAATAAAATCACATCATCATATATAATCATATTTCACAAATAAAATACATGATTTCAGGTGACTGTCTAAATGCCCTTTTTATTGTTTCTTGCACGCGCACTTGCCACATTTTGACCATATTTTTTTTGGGGGGGGGGCATATCTTAGGGGCAGACGGCCACAGCTCTGCCTCCTGGTCAGGTTAGGGGATGATTTCTCTTTTTGTTACAGTTTTTGGAGTGAGCTTCTGGTACAATATGTAGCACTATAGGCTGTAATTTCACACCCGGCTGCACATTTCCCTTAAAGCTACATTCTTTTTTCCCTCTCCCCCCCTATAAGACCCCCACCACCACCACCATCATCCCCTCCCTCAGTTTACCCTCCTGCTCCCCACAATTTGATCTCCCCAATGCAAAAATTAAGCAGAAGCAAGGAAGGGGGAGGAGGTTGTAAAAGAAAATGCTGATATAGTTTTTTTAAAACACATATCAAACGACGTGTTGACATGATTACTTTGTTTAGTTTTTGTTTGAACAGCACGTGTGGTGTGGCTTATTTGACTATGTGGTCAGACGGGCCCTAACCCCTGTCTTTTTAGGAAGGGGGCCATCCATTCAGATGCTACAACACCGGGTCAAAGAGCTCCCAAAAAGCAATTTAAACAATACAAAGGCTGAATCAATTATCACTTTTTTTGCAGAAAAGCACCTTTTTAATTTATATATAAATACTTCAAAACACCCGACCACTGGAGACAGAAAACAACATGCATTTATTGAATTTTCAGACAAATTTAAAATAATTTTCATGTACAATTACGCACTCATTTCCACCCTGACGCACAACTGCAGTATTTAAGACGTTGCCACTGCATGTCAAGAGTTTGGAAAATGTTTTTGGAGCCCGGGTGCTCCCATTAGGAGAGGTGTAATGTATTGACAGAGAGCAATTTATCTTTTGCCCCGCTTCCTAATGGCCTGTGCAGAGAGGAGAGAGGAGAGGTGGCATGCAGGGGGGGGGTGGTAAGGATAGCACCACCGAGGGTCCAGCATGCAGCTCCACCCGCCGAACATCAGCTCACACTCTTCAGGAAACTGCGGGGAGGATGATGGAGGCTCCGTGGTAAAGAACTTTTGGGAGAGGTGTCATTTATTGTTTTTTTCTTTCTCTCCTCTCCACCTCCCGTGTAGACTGCTGGTTGTCTCGCGTTATTCCAACACGTCACCAATCGATCCCTGCAAAGGGGAGCTGACACCTCTGGTTGTAAGTTGAGTATTAATCCTTTTCGATTGAAGAAGAGAGGCTTCGGAGGAATCTGTGGCGACATTTATGCTGATTTTGGACTATTTATAAAATCTTAAAAATAATGTAAAACATGTATGAGTTTTGCATGCTTAAATAAATCATAAAAGAGTATTTTTCATGCTATTTAAATGGCAGCAATTTGCTCTTTTAATGCATGCAAATGAGTGATAATTGTGATATTTGTTTAGGTTTTTATATTTGATGATACAGGAGGAGATTTCCGAAGCTGCAGCCCATAATCCTGTAACACTAACACACATATCTCCTGACACTTACTGTATATTGGATTTGCTCACTGTGTCCCTGTGCTCCAGCAGCGAGCAGCCACAAACACTCCCGGGCTACAAATCTCTGCTGGCGTGAACAG